CAGTGGAACGAGTGAGAGAAGTCCAAAATACAGAAAAGTGCAAAAATTGGTAGCAAAAGAGTACGGAATGACGAAGCAATGTTGATCAGAGCATCAAGTTAACAAGGCATCTAAACTGGCTCCTGGCCAAAACTATAATAAATGAATTGAAGTCGTCTAAATATAAAACAAAAGGCAGTACGGGCCTAAAAGGCCCTATGAAGAAAACAGTAAGAAGAGGCTGGAACAGTGGCCAAATCAGCGAAAGATATAGGACGGCAGGGGCCGCACCAACCATAAATGCAATAGGAATATGCAGGGGTGGGATGGTGGCCGCCCAAAGTCCGAGGTGGTAATGAGAGAGGGGAAATAAAAAAGGTAGACTGTTGTGACGAAATATTTAAAAAAAAAAAAGAAAAAAACAGGATGGCATTTTAAAAAAGTCATGTAAAGAGCAGTATTTGTAAAAGCGTGCCTATGTTTCATCCCCAAGCTGTAAACACAGACAGCACGATGCGTGATTAGGGGTGGGAATCATCAGCCCGAACCACCATGTTGAAACGAAAATTGCGTAATGGAGGAAAAAGTACGATAAGAAAAAACCTATATGTTTGCTTAAAAAAAACCTGTATGTTTGCTTAATTTTTACTTTTAAATGATACTGGTAGAGAGAGGAAAAACAGTAAATAACAATACTTGAAGACGTGGCAGTAATTCCAGAAGACAGTCGATTGGAGGTTTGCATGTTGAAAAAGCACGAAGAATGTCAACAATTGAACGCCTTTCTTTCTGAATATAAGTCCCATATTCTTTCTGCAAAATTAAATAAATTGTTTGTACATGTAAAATTTGCATAAATTGTAAATTTATAGTAATTCTCCAATATGCTACTGGCAACTCTCCCTGCTTCTTTGACTAGTGTTGCATCAATTAAGTAGTCAGTTTGCTGAAGATTTGACGCTCTTTTGCTTCCCGAAAAGATCGTGTGTGTGTGTGTGTGTGTGTGTGTGTGACGTATAACCTAGCATCGGCGGGAGGTATCAGTAATCATATTTTTTATGCCAAACAGGCACCGATGAGCCATTTCAATTACAGGAAGCGATGAGCCATTTTACAATGTGAGAGTGAAAATAACAGCCAACAGTCGAACAAAACGTTTCGCAGTGAGGATCGACAGATGAAGCTTCCGAAGGTGTTTGATGCCGACAGCCTCAAATCGAGTCTTCAGACGGTGGAGGGCTGTGATGTATGACCTCCCTATTGGTGGAAGATATCAGTGTTTTTCACATTTCTTTGCCCGTTGTGGTGTC